AGAGATATATATAACATTTATCGAAAAATTCGATATTATTGTTGAGGTTAACCCACATATTTCAAGATTATATAGAAAATGTGGTATTTTTGTTTTAATGAATGTTGCATTATGCAGTGACATAGTATGGAGATTAAAGAGGTTTAATACCTTGAGTGTTTCCGTTTCTACAGAATATGGAGTTTTTATAAGAGTTAGTTCATTTATTAGGTGGTATATAAAATTTAAATAAATCACTTTTTGGAAAATTAGAAATGAAACCCATGAACCTTGAATATAAATTTAGCATACATATATATAAATTTGGAGCATTTATATATGTCTAAAACAATACTAAAGAATCTAAATATTATAGATAGCATTTAACAGAAATTTAATTTTTTTGTAGGGGTTAACGCACATATTTCAAAATAAATTTAAAAATATAATATTTTTGTTTTAATGCATAGCTTCATCATACAGTGGCATATTATGAAGATTAAAGAGACTTAAGACCTTAGGTGTTCTGGTTTCTCTAGAAATAGAGATTGTATAGGGGTTAGTAAATTAATTATGACGTATTGTAAATTAATTATGACGTATTTGAATTAAAGAAATAAAGTACTCGTTGGAAATTTATATATGAAGGTCATGTGTATCTTGTAAATATGTTTAGCATACATGAAAATAAATTTTGAGTGTGGCTAGATATTTTTAAAACAACGTTAATGAGGTAAACTTTAGTATATACTAGTGGTTTGTCCGCGCTTCGCGCGGAATGTTGTTTATTATAATGTGGTTTTTCTGTGTGTTTGTATCAGTGAATCTTTAGGATTGGTTGTATTGTCTTAACATTTGTATTATATGTGGGTTGTAGATCTATTGGGTGTGGCATAAAGTGTTTTCTATGCTTATAAGTTTGAACGTGTGAAGGAATTGAGATGAAAGAAAGAGAATTATTATGATGAAATTAGACTATGCATGTTAGCTTGGTATAGCAGTGGGGGCTAATTGTGTTGATAAGGTAATTTTAATTTTCTGTCATTCACTATATTTATGTGGGTGCGTTTCCTGGGTTGTTTGTATGAGTTTCGTATGGGTGTCCATGCATGTTGCATTATTTGTATAGAATTGCTGTTAGTTTTTGCAAAACATGTGTACGTTTGCATTATGTTTAGTTGTTTGTGAAGCATGATCAGTGTAGTTGCATGTCAATATTTTAAAAACCCGACAGTTGCAGTTTCCTGGTGGTTCTCCGTTCATTTGTTGTGGCCTTTGTTAAACATTTCGGTTATTTTGGTTGACATTGCTGAGGTGTTATAGAACTCAATATGGAGAAACAAAAGGACAATGACTTTCAATGTAGGATACATTTTGATAATCAAGCAAACTACTTACCCAGATGATCATATATGATTGTGGCACTGTACCTCCTTGGCAAGCCCCAAGATTTATTTGAGCTCTCTATGTATATCAAAAATAAATGAAGTCTAAAATAAGTAACAGATACAATATCTTTGAATACTCAGTGTTGTGAAACATATACATACTTTACTCAAATAAGCGGAAGTCAAAGCACGGAACTCTATATCAGATTTGTTCATCTGCTTCTCTAGTCGTTGGTCTGATCACCGTGTGCAGCACCATGCTTCTCTTCACCAGCTCTATTGCTCTAACATTTTAATCCTTGAAAGCTCTTCTTCTTTTCTTCTTGCTGCTCTAGTGATAGTAATAAAATTGTTTAATGAATGAGGTTCCCTGTAACTCCTAATATATTGGAGGTGCTTTTACTCCTACAAACAACAAAAAACAAGAGCCAAATGGTTTTTATTTAAATCTTTTTCGTCCACGGTCTTGGTTTGAGTCATGGCATACAAAATTTATGATGTCTCCTGGGAATAAATAGAATCACGATCAAGACAACTCTGAGTGCTCGAGAAAATAGAATTAAGAACATACCTGATTTTTGTCACTGAATGGTAACTGATGAGTCGATCAGACATGTTAGTAGTTTGATAAGAAACCTAAGTATAGTGTCCATCAACAGTTGCACCCTAATCCAGTTAGTAAAAAACAATTCCTGACATAAAAACACGGAACTTAATTATATTAATGGACCAATGCCATTAAGGAGATGCATATATAAGCTTAGATGTCTAAGAAAACCAAATCACTTGGACTGGAACCACTGATACATTAATAATGCATACCCCATGTGCAGTATAGGGATGCATATTAGTTCAAGAAAAGTTGAAAATCACACAAAGAATGAGCTGATACCTAAACAACTTGGTGGTGTGGCAAATTGTAGCAGTGTCTAGAAGCTTGTGCTCGAGCCATTTATGAGTGTATAGAGCTGAAATAAGGCTGAAAAAAATTAACAAAAATAAAAAGATGTGGCGTTAGATATGGTAGAGACCAACCAAAAAAAAAGATAACAAGATATTAAAACTCCGATCATATGGTTGTAATGAAAATGGATTTCAAAGAAAGAGTAAGGATATATGGTTAGGGAGGAACCAAGCAGAAACTCTAAATTAAGACAGAGGAGACGGGATTTTCAACAGCTGCTCGAGAGCATACCAGTGACGTACAACTGAACTCAGGACTAAGGAACTGAAATATACGGGCAACATCGTATATAAAGTTCAAAACTGCCAGTAAGAAATCTTCTATTCCAGGCTTCAAAACCTTAGTCACAGCATCCTCTTGTTAGCCTCTAAGACTTGCGCCATGGTTCATGGACCTTGTCATGAGGATTGTTTTAAGTAGAGAAGAGTACATAAACAAAATGGATTTAGATGAAACAAAACAGAAGCAGAAGAACATAATTGTGCTGTTGAGGCTGATTCATTTATCAAAACAGTATATAGTCAGCTTGAGAAGTGAAAAGGTGTTGGGTTTGTGCCGAGATGACTAAAGCCTTCGACTTTCTTCCTCCGATCCTCATCTTAGAACTTTCTCTAGCAACTGGAAGCTGCAAAAGCAGAGAGCAATGGCGTTTTCCAGTTTTGGTATTTAAGCCGTAAAGAGAAGATAAAGGAATCAGGTTTAAATGAAGAGAGAAATAGACTTGAAGCTGGTGAAGAAGTGGTCACCACTCGCAGCGGAAAGCTAAGACGCCATTTTTGTACTAATGCAAACTGGAGACGTTACGGTCACTTGATCGGCGGTGGCGTTATCTGAAGAACTCGACTGCTGAGAAGATGCTGAGTTCTATTACATCCCTATTGTTTTCAAGCTGCTCGAGATTACAGAATCCTAAACTACAAAATATAGTTCAGCATGAGTCTTAGATTAAGAGTGGCGGATTCTAGAAGAAACCTGAAGGAGTGATTTTTACTTCGAACAACTCATCAAACAGAGAACAAAGCTGGAACATTCCCTCTAAATTAGAAATCGAAACTGGGTCAAGCTTTCAGGATATAGATTTCAGGAGAATAGATGACGAATTCCCACGAACAAAGAAACCCTATACTCAAGAGGTGACTAAGCCACTAACAGGCCTTTACAATTGCAGGGCCAAACATAAACAAAAAATCGTAAGGTCCATTAGCAAAATAGATGCCACGTGTATTTCATCCCCCCATGGAGAGAAAAAAGGCAACTTTATTAGTTAAGATAGCATTTATTGGAAAAATTAGTTATTTTCGTAAGATAAATTAGAAAATATGGTATTTTATTTTAATTCATAATTTCATCATATTGTGACATGTGATGAAAAATAAAGAGGCCTGGTACTTTAGTTGTCCATGTTTCTATATAAACTACATATTTTATAAGGGTTAGTCCATATAATTAAGTGGAATATGAAGTTTTATTAAATTACTCAATAAACTATTAGAATAGATGCTCATGTATCATGAAAATAAGTTTAACATGCATTAATAAAATGTATAATATGATTAGGTATTTTTTTAATCAACATTAAATAGTTTAAACTTTGGTATATAGCATTTATCAGAAAATTCAATATTTTTGTATGGGTTAACCCACAGATTTCAAGATAAATTAAACATTGCAATAATTTTCTTTTAATGCATAGATGCATTCAACACAGATACATGATGAAAATTAAAGATGTCTGACACATTTGTTGTCTAAGTTTTTTCTAGAATATGGAGATTTCATAGGGTTTAGTTCTTTGATTTACATGGTATATGAACTTTTATTAAATTACTCGTTGAAAAATTATAACTGATGTCTTTGTACCATTAAAATAAATTTAGGATACATTAGTATACATTTTTAATGTTGTTACATTTTTAATGTTGCATTTATTAGAAAAAACTCTATATTTTCATAGGGATTAACCCATATATTTCAAGATAAGTTAGAAAAATATGGAATTTTGTATTTAAGCATAGTTTCATCTAGCACTGATATATGATGAATATCAAATAATTTTGATATCTTAGTTGTCCAAATTTCTCTAGAAAATAAAGGTTTCTCCACCAATGATATAGGAAACCGAGGAATGAATGTGTAATTTACCAAAAAAAAAACATATTAGTGGAGAAGATTTTTTAAATTTGTCATATAATCATATTTTGACTATACATATATTTTTTACATGACTTCAAATAAATTATGAATGTCATATTCATCATTATAGTTTACTTTTATTAGTTTAGTAAATGATTAGGTTTAAATGTGATTATTTCTTTTATTTAGTTTTAAATATATTAAATTGTATTTATAATTTCAAATAACTTAAAAATAATATATATAGTAAATTATTATTGGCATATTAAATTGAATTTAAAATAGTAAAACCAATATAAAATTTTAGTAGCATTTATTTATTAATATATACAC